GTCTTTTTTTGATATTAATCATTGTATATATATTAATATTATACACAGTATATATTCAATTAAAAATGTATATGATCACCCATAGAAGATCCTCCAAGATCGCCCATAGAATCCATTTGGTATAGTAGATTCGTTATTTCTAATTTCTGATTACAAGTAATGATAGAAGGTCTATATATAAATTCAAAGATGAATCCACTTCTCTACTTCTATTTCATAACTGTAAACATCTATTCAAAAAATTGCGCAAAAAATTAATCAATCAAATTAATCAATCAAATAAATCAAATAAAATCAATCAATCAAATAAATCATTAAAATGTATACTGATTTAACACTAATCAATATTCTCTTCTTCTTGGGTTTCATTATGCCATATGCAATTATTGTAATTATGGTATGGACATTCAAAAACAATTCAAAGCGTCAAAATGTTGCTACAAAAAACCTTGAAAAAAATATTTTAGAACTCAAGAATGAAATATATAAAATAAATGCTGAATCAGAATGGAAAAACGAAATACAAAGTCAAGGTATATATAGTTTTACTAACCTATTTTACGTAAATCCATTTATTCCAGAATCATTATCATCCATGCTAATGAGTCTAATATTATATATAGCTTCTATTAGAAGTCATAGATCAGAATATTCCAATGAAATCGAAACAATTTGGAATGAATTTATCTACCTCTTTGATGAAAGAAGAAAAAAAAATGGATATTCTCATACTAAAATGTATGATGCATTATCCAAAGAAATTAAGCTCAGTACTGGAACGTTATCTGGATTCTATCGTCACCAAAGAAGACCACAAATTCCATCGTTAGATAAAATCGAAGCCTGGATAAACAAACAAGAAAAAAATGATGATAATTTCATTCATAGTAGTAGTAGTAGTAGTAGTAGTAGTAGTAAAAATAACGAAATCATAAATCGTAAATAATAGATTACGAACCTAAAGTATAGGGGTACACATATATGGTTTTGGGGCCGTGTATTCCCTCCCATGCGGTTCAGATTTATTACTTTATTATTTATTTCAATATTTTTTATATCTATCTATATGTCATTAAAAATAGTATTCATTATCAAATATTA